CCGCCTTTCTTGCACTCACGATCTCTAATGTTCAGTGGGACAAGAGAGCGGCCCAATTTCCCAAACGCTTCTACAATCTAGAGGATTTGACCAACCAGGCCAACGTCGACTGTCTCGTTAAAACTTAAGAGATCGGGTAACCAGCATCGTAAAACAAGTCTACACCATCCGCAACAACGCCAACACTTCTTCCTCCACGGTACTGTAGTTTAACTCGTTGGCATTGAGTGTCCGGCTCATGAAGGCCACTGACACAAATAACCATCATAGCCCTGAACTAACGAAGCTGAGATGGCCCATTCGCTTGCGTAGATGATCATCACCACTTCTTTCGATGGGTCGAAATGCCGCAAAAAAGGCGCTGTAGCAATCTTGCTCTTCAGCATACCAAGAGCCACTTGAACTCGAGACCATTTCTATCCGTCTTCACCCGTAATCACTGAGTGGTGATCATAGTTTAACTTGCATCGCCACGAGTAAACGTTCACCTCTTTCAACTCGTATAGGATTGACGCAAATATAGTATAATCCTAGATAAACCTGCTGCAGTAATTTTGCCTTTCGAGGAACAACTGCATGACCTTAAGAGTTGTTGGTAGAGGTAGATTTACAATGCTTAAAGCTCTTTGAAGTGGGCTTTCAATCCTTCTCTAAATACCCAGTGGCCTAGGTAGTTGACCCTTTGACATCCCCACGAACTCTTGACTGCACTAATTGACAATTTCCAGTAGTCGCATACATCCATCAACCGTTCCACCTTGTAGCATAACACGTGTTAAAGTTGAGCGGGTATGATTATGTCATCTATGTACGACCGACGACCCAATATCGAGGGTGTGACTCTGTGTATAATTCCCCCGACGAAAACAAATCTTCTGGCTCATCCAAGCTGGTTCCTGGGGGTATACGTAAGAACCCCTGTAACACGCTGTACAGAAGTTTATGGTAGATTTGTGGTGCATTCGTGAGTCTGAATGACATCTACAGCCATTTCAACAGTCACAACGGTGTGACAAAGGCTAAAATAAATCTTTCCTTTTCGGTCATGCTGAAAACCTAAAAACGACTTGCCATATCGAGAGAGCAGAACCACAACGCACTATCCAAGTCTTCCAGTAGCTCGTTAATCAGTGACATGGGGTAGACCATGATTTGAGTCAAGTGGTCCACAAATCGGTAGTCAATGAACAACCTGATTTCTACCCCATTAATCTTCACGATGTCACTATTGGGCTGGCCCACTTCGAGGTAGACGTTTGAATAATCTTCGCTGACATTAAACCTTTGCTAAGATCGGCCTACTTTTCTTTGAACTAAGGGGATGCCTTTCGAACGCGTTGTGCAACCGTTCGCGCATTTCTTGCGTCGATGTCGCATACGGCACCACGAGCGGCTGTAGCCAAGGCGTTGCCTTTTCCCGTTAGCAGTTGTCGCTGATTCTACATGATTTGCCTCAATCGATTCACCTCTTCAGGCATGTTCCATCCTATTCAGGGATCTGAATGTTCATCAACTTGTTGCCTTCGGGCGAGAGTCTAATTCTGGTATTACTGCCCATCCTAGACTGATTTCTTCGACCCAGAGTTCTTTGCTCTCTAAAACGTAGAATTGGTCGTCAGCTTGTGCTAGGTCCTCGTGTTTCGCTCTTGCTTCAAGACACCGGCCTCCATAGACTGAGTGACCGTGGCTTCCGTCGGCCAGGGCCGGCGGCTTCTAGAGGTTGGGTGACGGAGGTCGTTTGTCCGTTGGTAATTCCTCCACTGGCAGCTGCTGGGAAGAAACGTTCATCACTGGGGTGGTCTGTTTTGGTTGGGGAGAAGCGTTCGTCCCGGGGTGGTCTGTTTCGGTCGCTGTAGAATATGTAATGGGGTATCATACTGGGGTTCGCCTACGAATACCCAACCCGTCTTCCTCCATCGGGTCCAGCTGATGGCCATTCTGGTCGGTCCTAGCTTCGTACGCTAAATTCCTAAACTCAGCGTATCTTCGAGAGCCCACAGTGACGAACCCTGCTGTCCTCAGTATTTGACCCTTCGCAAATAACATGCCAATCTTGGTGTCGTCATGTAGCATTAAAAAATGTGTGCCTACATGTATCACCTTCAAGAATTGATGTCGGCCTACTCCTCGTATCACCTTAAAGACTTACCGTTCTCCTCTTGTTTCCTATGTGGAGAAGCGCAAAGGAAGGATGGAGGGATCTGGATCGCGCGATCCGCCTAAAATACGAAAATCAATTTGATTGGTGGAGCGCGTACGGAGACGGGTCCGCTGGAACGGATGATGGTGTCACACGGCTGAGTGACAGGAAATGACTGTGGAAATTATGCAGAGTAACCCACTTAACGGCAACGAAGGGGTATAGGTCAAGCGGAGTGTGTCATGATGATCGAGGTAGATTACTTTCCCGCCGTGGATCGCATACCAAAAATCAAAACAAAGTATAAACATTTTAAATATTTTTCTCCGCGATCCGGTGCTTGCGATCTGGTACTCCATGATCCGGTACTGTACGATCCGGTACTGTACGATCCGGTATGGGGCGATCCACTATGGATTATCTGCTGTGGACCACAGGATGTAAGAGGTGGATGACATAGACAGCCGACCTAGCAAACAGATAGGCATACTCATAAGTTTTAGGTTTGGTTGGTTCACATTAAACAGAATTGAATTTGCAACGAAAGACACGCGTCGACTTCTCCCGGGCAGGATCTTTGGCCTCCCGTTGAATAGAGAGTCACCCACGTCTCAAGTGAGCTTCGCCTTGGATTGAAGGTCAACTCTCACCCTTCCTCCCAACTGTGATAGGACGCAGCGAACCTTACGGTTCAGATTCAAGATCGCGAGATGGATCAAGTGGTCAGAAGGCTCGCGTATCAAGCATCACCCCTGGCAAAGGCGACTCTGGTAGAGCGCCTAAGCTACAAGCGATCGAGTGAACAATTTCCACGCGATCCGCACCTACATTTACCGGGTAAAGTATTTCCACCCGATCAACACGTATCCCTTAGACGGTCAAGTTCAGCTACAGCTCAAGTCCACCAAGAAGAGCGCAACCCGCCCCACCGACGGGTACTCAAGGTGAGCAAGTGTAACGGGGCACCCTGAAGCTTGTACTGATGACAGTACAAGCTAGTTTTTCTGATGACAGAATAAGGAGGTACCTCGGAACTTCACGTACACTGGTACGTGCAGAGGAAGACGGTAAGAAGAAGCGAGTACTTGGTTAATGTAAAAAGTAGAACTGTATTTATCATAGTTAATGTCTGTTAATAAACCACTGTCTATCCTCATCTAACTATGTCTAAATACAAATGTGTATATCAACTATCAGCTCACCACTCATTGCGTGCGTCTGTCGTGGCGCGTCTTCGTTGGTTGATATAATGGCCTGTACCTGTATCAACCAAGCAGGAACTACTCGTAAGTGCTGCCGAATATGTGTCCTTATGACAATATTCTGAGAATAAAACTCGTATATTTATATTCTATTACCAATTTCTTATAAATTGTTGTGTAACGGCTCACCGCGTCACAGTTTCTGTAGCTTGGCAAACACGACTTGCGCGACTTGCATAATCTACCACTCGATTAAAGACCGTAAACAGCCCTTCTGCGCTTTTTCTTGACAAAACTCAGCTTGCTAGTTTCGTGCATTCTTCGTCCACCATACAACTTCGTGATCGAGAAATCAGGTTAGAGGTCCAGAAACGCGGGAGTGCCGACCCATTTTCGTTTCTATTGATGATATGGAACGCACATTACGCTCTCACGTGGCGAGATTGCAATCCATTTGTAACAACAACCAGGAGAACTGTGGACGACACTGGTCCGGACATGACATGTGGCAATTCCATGGCCTAGCACGTGCTTGGTTGGGTTTGGTTTCTCATCTTCTCACTGTTAGGTTGGGTACAAGCCACTGCAACTCACCACTCGCTTTGTACAAATGCACCCTAAAGCTGACATCTGCTTACGTTGAGACATGTGTCCCTCACAGAGATGCGAGGATAAGCTACCCCTATCTTTCAGTGCATTGTAGCCGACCCAGATCCCGCACAAATGTATCGGATGTATTGACAGTCGGCGTAAGTATATCGACTTGTAGGTGCAAGTAGTTAGTTATCCAACATTAGGCTATCGTGCGTACGTTCTAAGGATGTCGTAGGCCTTAAGCGGGACAACACGTACTGTATTAAGTACGATGCCAGATGTAACCAAGCTGACGCATCCGGAAGGGCGACTACCTCCTTATAGATAGTCGTTATATCGATCAATGGCGTTTTCTCTCGAACAAGTCTGGCCGTAAGATATCCGGGCTTTTAGGCTGACATAATGCTTGATGCATGCCCCTTGACAGCGTAGCAGCGGAAACTATGATATTTCTGTCGCTATGCTGTCGAGGACCTTGCTAGGGCCATTCTTGGTGTAACGGGGCACCCTGAAGCTTGTACTGGTGACAGTACAAGCTACTTATTCTGATGACAGAATAAGGAGGTACCTCGGAACTTCACGTACACTGGTACGTGCAGAGGAAGACGGTAAGAAGAAGCGAGTACTTGGTTAATGTAAAAAGTAGAACTGTATTTATGATAGTTAATGTCTGTTAATAAACCACTGTCTATCCTCATCTAACTATGTCTAAATACAAATGTGTATATCAACTATCAGCTCACCACTCATTGCGTGCGTCTGTCGTGGCGCGTCTTCGTTGGTTAAATTAATGGCCTGTAACTGTATCAACCAAGCAGGAACTACTCGTAAGGGCTGCCGAATATTAGTCCTTGTGACAATATTCTGAGAATATAACTCTTATAGTTATATTCTATTACCAATTTCTTATAAATTATTATGTAACGGTTCACCCCGTTACATCACCCCCCCCTAACCATCAGTCACTTTAGTGACTGATTGACTAGATGGATGCTTGTCCCACAATCATTTGGGACAGGGTTTGCACTTGTTGGTCCGAGTCCACAGTCCATCAGTTTCATCTCATGGTTAACAAGTCCATGCGGTGCGCGAACAAGGCCGCTGAGAGCGCGTCTGCACGTCTCTTTGCAGACGCCGATGCAGAAACCGCTGCAATCGATGTGTCATCGGTTGCTATAGCGACTCAGCCTGTATCACCTGGTGATGCAGGCGCTCGTCATGAAGACACTCTTGTCTTCACAAAGTATGATCTCGGTGTCTCATACTCTCCTGATACGGAAGAGGGATCCTTATCGAAGAAGGTTAAAAACAAGCCGCCTGCTAAGCGTGGCACGCGTCTTAGCATCTTTGGTTCATCTGATAGATCAGATGAACCATCGCCAAAGCGAAGGCATAACACGCAGGTAGCGCGTATTGATCGAGGCCATTTTCAAAATATGATCGGCAAGATTTGTCGATAGAGTCAAATTTGTAGCGCACGGAATCAAGATATGCTTAAGTTTTACAGTCAAATGGACGCTCAAGAGTGGCAGAGCCCATCATTCGACCTCATCTACCTCGTCAATGCCTCGGCCGTCAACACCGTTCCCTGACGTTGTGGATCAGGCAGTCGAGGTCGTCGGGGCTTCTAACGCAAGGTCGCAAGACTCGGGCGCTCACAGTGGCGTCGGTTCTCCTGTTGACACCACTCCGCAGCGATGTACCAGTGATCGCTATTGAACACGATTGTTCGATTCATCAAGGATCCATCACCTTGACCCCAGTGCGAAAAAAATCGCACTGAGAATGAGTTCTTCATCGATGCTTTCTTTAAGCATCGATGGTACAGTGGGAATCAAAAACGTGATGGTCCCTCACTGCTTCAAGCGTGGAACGCTTACTTCCATAACCTTGAGGATGTGGGTCTTGACATTTGGAATGACAAACTTATCAAAGCTCGTGATAAGTTTGAAAAGCGAACCCCGACAGGTGCACGCTACAAGCTGCATCGTCTGTCAAGGGAGAAAGGATTACCCTGCCTCTCTTGGGGAGACTCGTGCCCTTGTTGTGTAAACAACTTTGCGCGCGCACCTAAGGAGGCTTACCTCCTTAATAGCCCGTGGTGGCGCGTACGTATCTCTACTGAGATGTACGAAGGGTATGACAACCTGAAATTTCTTTATGACCGTGCCGGGAAGAATTTCTCCGGCGGTCCTTCAGCAGCACAGGATGTGCTGCGTCGTACCGCTCAACCAGACTCATTACGTCAATCATCAGTTGGTAGCGGGGCTCCCAAGTATCCCAGGACGGGGGATAACCGCGCCACCGGACGAGGTAACTCGTCCGACGTCCGTTCACATTGCATTGGTTCAACAGCCGCTCAATCATATAGCGCTGGCCACCGCGAGAGTCCTCCAAAGGAGGTGGTAAAGGAGGGAAGACGCTCTTCAAGCTATCGTGGGGGAGCGTGCGTCTCCGAGAGCCTCTTAGATCGCGTAACTCTTGCGTACCGCGGCGACCTCGAGCATGGGCGGGACAGGCGTCTTCAACTGGCGGACACTGTCTTGAAGCATCGAGCTGAGTTTGCTTTTGCTCAGCTTGAGAACGAGAGAGCTTTGACATATCTGCGTGACAAGCTAAGGGTAACTCGTGTGGATATTGACCGGTCTCGGGCTGAGATAACTGCTCTTCAGACCCTTGTTGATGGCCACCATCGGGAGCACAAGGCTTTCTGCGAGATGCTTGAACGCAAGGGCGTTCTTCATCGGAAGAAGCAGTGTACTGATGGTACGGCTTCAGCCGACCAACGTAAAACGTGGGATGCGTTCGCATCTTACGTGGTAGTTTGATCGTGTACGCGTTTCCTAGGCGATGCAATACACGAAATGGGTCGATGTACTTGGGTATAAGTTTACTACTACCCACGTTAGTCACTACGTGCTTCGGTAGATTAACCGTAGACAGTAGGACTAAGTCACCTTTATTAAATAAAAGAGTGTTTGCCCTTCCATTTTTGTCTGCGTTTTGCTTTTGCTTACCCACCGCTTCGGAGATGGAGTCTTGCACGAAACGGACTACCGTTTCACGAGCCAGCATGAACTCACCTGATGACTCGTTAGCTTCAGTGTGCTGTGAGTGCACTTCAGCAACATCAATCTTTTCTTCAGTGAGGGCTTTCGCACTCTCACTGGCATCATCTTCTTCGATATCGATGTTATCGATATCGGCATCAAACGCAATGACCTTATCGTCAGAGCGTGATGAGCGTGAACCAAATCGGTTTTTGCTCGCACGAGTCTCCCCCCCCCTTAAACCAGAGTTACACTCGAGTAAGGTGGGTACACGCGGATGGCGCAAGCCATTCACGTTAAAAGGTGTATGTGTCGTGGACGCATGCACCGAGTTGTTGATGGCAAACTCTACCATTGGCAAGAACTCACTCCAACTCTTAAAGGAGTGTACGTAACCTCGAAATTTTTTCTTAGAGCACACGATTGGATCGTTCCATCTGACCATATGACTCTGGATGATCAGATGTCGACATCTTCAAGCGCGTTCCGAGTGATTTGAACACGGAACGCCAGAAATCAGCAGTGAAGCGTGGATCTCTGTCTGATACGAGTTCACGGGGCAACCCATGAAGTCGGAAGATGGTGTCAATAAAGACACAAGCACAGCCACTTGCTGTGATTGTCTCTGGTACAGCCACGAGGTGTACATTTTGCTGAATCTGTCAACAAATACAAGAATACCCGTATTCCCGCGTGCGTCTTTGGGTAACCCGAAGACGAAATCCATTGAGATGGATTCCCAGTACTGCCGGAACTGGTAGAGTCTGTAAAGGTGCACGCAGTGAAGGACTTGACTTCACTCGTTGGCAGACTTCGCATGCGCGAACATACTTTCGCACAAACTGATACTGGCGGGGCCAGTAAAAGTCTCGACTCACCGTGAGATATGTTTTCTCACGGCCACGATGTCCTCTTATAGGAGCATCGTGATACTCGAACATGATCCGCAATCGCAGATCAGTATCATCTGGGATGACAACACGTGGTGTGTCACCAATAACGGCTGTATAATGCAGTAAAACGTTGCGAGTAGTGTATCGATCTGATGCAGATCGATACGCAGACGATAATCATTTCAGCGATTCTCGAGATGGCTGTGAGAGATGTGCCAACAACTTCACAATCTCACCATCTTGGGCACACGCCCGCCTCGCAGCATCATGCAACGTTGAAGATGGGACTGAGGACGTCATAACCGCAACAGTGGATGTCTCACTGTTGGGTTTCACGACTGGTTCAAAGTCGGGCCGACGTGAGAGTGCATCAGCGACGACCTTAAGTCGTCCTAGTTTGTACTCTACCGTACGCTTTCACGACTGGTTCAAAGTCGGGCCGACGTGAGAGTGCATCAACAACGACCTTAAGTCGTCCTGGTTTGTACTCTACCGTACAGTTGTATTTATGCAAAGAATGACAGCCACCGCGCCATTCGTTGTGAAAGGTGCGGGCTGTTCACTGCCGTGCATAGAGACGCATGGTCTGTATAAACAATGAAGGGTCTATCTCCTTATAGATAGAATCTGAACTTCGCGAGTGCGTACTTCATTGCAAGGAGTTCCTTGTCATGCACTGGATAGTTCCGCTCAGCAGGTTGCAGCTGACGCGACTGATAGCGAAAGACGCGTTCAACGCCTTCAAGATCGTACTGCATTAATGCACAGCCGATTGCAAAATCGCTGGCATCACAGACCACATGAAATGGCCTGTCCTGATCAGCAATTGCTAGGACTGGGGATTGTATCAAGCTCTGCTTGATACCATCAAAGGAGCGCTGACATTCAGCGTTCCGTAACCACATCTCGTTCTTTTTCAACAAACGAGAGAGGTGTACAGTCATCTCCGGCGTAACTGCGTGAATACTTGTGCAAATACGCCGCTAGCCCAAGGAATTTTCGAAGACCTTTGACATCAACCGGCACAGGCCAGTTGGCGATCGCCTTGATCTTTTCGGGATCAGGACGTACCCCGTTCTCACCAACGATGCATCCAAGAAGTGGTATTTCGCTTGCTGCAAATATGCACTTCTTGAGGTTAGCATACAATTGATGCTTTCGCATGATTGTAAGAACCTGTCGGACGTGGTACCTGTGAACCTCAACGTCCGACTTTCCATCCATAGCTCGACTATGGATGAATACATCAGCGAAATAACTCGGTGCGGATTTTCGTACTGGTCTCAATAGATGTGATACACATCTGTTGAACGTGGCAGGGGAATTACTAAGCCCTTGTGGCATTACTAGCCATTGCCAGAGCATGCCGCTAGGCGTGCTCACTGTGGTTTAGGGTATATCCCGTTCTCGCATAAGGATTTGATAGAAACCATCCATCAAATCCATGGACGAAAAGATGGTACTCTTTGACATACCATCAATGATTACGTCCTTCCTTGGTATCGGCGACTGAGCCGGTACCGTTGCAGCGTTCAATTTGTTAATGCATGCACAATCCGCCACCCTCCTGTTGCTTTTTGCACACAGAAGGTCGGAGAGCTATGTGGGTAAGTTGATTCCCTCACATGGCCCGCAGCTAAAGGATCGGCAAGTATCTTGTCGATCGCAAGTACTTGTTCACGAGGCAGTGGCCACAGCTTCCAGACACAGTACTTCGAGCCTGGTTTAAGCTCGACCATGTGTCGAATACCTTTATCCTTCGGTAACTCGCACGGAACAGTTTCAGGGAATACATCCTTGAATTCAACCAACTCTCCATAGAGAGGATTTGTCTTGAGCGATTCCCACGATTGGGAGTCATATCGCTCAACTCGTGTCTTTTTATCGAGGACACTCTCGTCCATCGATGAACTACTGAGAACTCTCTCGTTCTCAGTAAACATTGTTGCTGACCGTATGTCGGCTACACACTTGTTGTCAGCGACGAGTACGCAGATCTGCTTGGCTTTGCCACTATACAAATCACGCAAGAACCTTTTATGTTCGAGCGTTGGCAACTGAGTGATCTCCGAAGTCAACTACGGAGGCGCAATCAGATCAAGTGTATAAGCGCTTACACTTGATCCATCATTGACTATGACATTCAATGTCTCTGTCATTTCCTGGGGACTTATTCCCTAAGGCCTCGAAGGACTTATTCCTTCGGCTTCCCGGGGACTTATTCCTTCGGGTTTCGGGGAACTTATTTCCACCGTATCTGTAATTTCGGGACTTATTCCCTTTACTTCCTCTAGCTGGGGTTGCGCAACCACAGCGAGAATCTCGACGAAAGACTCTCCAGTCGATCTAGGATGATCGTTTCGCTTAACCTAAGCGATCGATTGTTTCTCTTCTGGATGTTACCCGCTAGGGATACATCTTTGTCCCGGTCCTCTCAACTTATTCGAGTTGTGTACCTTCGGCGCAGCCTGTGTTTCCTCACAGCCGCCGGAAGCTTGCTCCGAAGTGTAACTGTTT